TGCTTTGACTTTAACATAGCCATTTCTGTGACCAGTCACAAGCTAATCACTCAGCTATTTTAATGCTAAATTCTATGCTCATTCCTTTGTCAAGGGGTGCCTCTGTGGATGTGTAGGCTTTGACTTTAACATAGCCATTTCTGTGACCAGTCACAAGCTAATCACTCAGCTATTTCAATGCTAAATTCTATGCTAATTCCTTTGTCAAGGGGTGCCTCTGTGGATGTGTATGCTTTAACTTTAACATAACTATTTCTGTGACCAGTCACAAGCTAATCACTCAGCCATTTCAATGCTAAATTCTATGCTAATTCCTTGGTCAAGGCGCTCTGTTTCTTCTCACACAGCTTAAAGGTCGCGGTCTGAGCTTGGCTGTGTTCGCTCCAGCGCTGTCCTCCAGACAGTCTCGTCCCTTCACCTGATGAAGGCCGCTTGTGTTGTGGCCGAAACGTCGTGATAATTTTATCGCGTTATTTTATTTTATCAATTTATTATTTTATTCTCATTCTACGTGGTGGTGGTGACTTTACCGAAAGAACCAAAGAAGATGAATCCTTGCAAGTCACGAAAGCTTTAAATCGAAATTTGTATTGTGGTGGTGGTGGTTGTTGTGGTTGTGGTGGTTGTTGTTGTTGTTTGACTTTGCAATCCCGCTGGGATTATTTGCACCGAGCGTTGGTGGTGTAACGCCGCTTTTTTTTTTGAAGGAATACCTACGTGGTGACTTTACCGAATAGAACCAAAGATGATGAATCCCTGCAAGTCACGAAAAGCTTAAAAAAAAATCGAAATTTGTCTTGTGGTGGTGGTTGTGGTTGTTGTGGTGGTTGTTGTGGTGGTTGTTGTTGTGGTTGTTGTTGTTGTTGTGGTTGTTGTTGTTGTTTGACTTTGCAATCCCGCTGGGATTATTTGCACGGAGGGTTGGTGGTGTAACGCCGCTTTTTTTAAAGGAATATTTATTGCCGGTTTTTTTTTGGTTTTTCCCCCATGGATTTTCTGTCTGCACACAGTCACGCACGCACATAGTCGCTTTAAGATATTTTTTTCTCTCGTTCGTGGTTTTTTGTGTGTTTGTTGCGGTTTCAACTGCCCGGGTTCAAGAGCCGGATGGCTCACACCACACACACACGCACGCGGGGCCTGGGGCCTATACCCAAAATAAAACTGAGCTGAGCTGAAACCTGAAACTGAACTGACGTACCGTGGATTGGCGTTGGAGGTGGGTGGGTGGGTGGCGGTGTAGAAATATAAAGCAACACAACGCGCTCATCCGTACACAATGACGATCGCTTGCATTGTGATCGGAACTTCGTGATCTGTTATTATTATTATTGTTGTTGTTGTCGTCGTTGTTATTTGAGTTCCATTTCCTGTGGAAGTTGCTTCAGCGCAAGCATCCAAAGATTGGCACGTGTCTGCTTATGTGACAAACTCCCCCAACCCCGTTAAAGTTCGATTGAAAGCTTTTCGTCACTGCAGGGATTCGTGTTCTGGGTTCTTTCGGTAAAGTCACCACCACGTAGAAGGGAAACAATAAAATAATACAAATATAAAACAATAAAATTATTATTCTTGGTTCTTTCGGTAAAGTCACCACCACATAGAAGGGAAACAATAAAATAATAAAAATATAAAACAATAAAATTATTGTAAAACAATAAAATTATTATTCTTGGTTCTTTCAGTAAAGTCACCACCAAGTAGATAGGGGAAACAATAAAATAATACAAAATATAAAACAATAAAATTATTGTAAAACAATAAAATTATTATTCTTGGTTCTTTCGGTAAAGTCACCACCACGTAGAAGGGAAACAATAAAATAATAAAAATATAAAACAATAAAATTATTATTCTTGGTTCTTTCGGTAAAGTCACCGCCACGTAGATAGAGAAACAATAAAATAACAAAAATATAAAAAAATAAAATTATTGTAAAACAATAAAATTATTATTCTTGATTCTTTCGGTAAAGTCCCACCACGTAGATAGGGAAACAATAAAATAATAAAAATATAAAACAATAAAATTATTGTAAAACAATAAAATTATTATTCTTGGTTCTTTCGGTAAAGTCACCACCGCGTAGAAGGGAAACAATAAAATAATAAAAATATAAAACAATAAAATTATTGTAAAACAATAAAATTATTATTCTTGGTTCTTTCGGTAAAGTCACCGCCGCGTAGATAGGGGAACAATAAAATAATAAAAATATAAAACAATACAATTATTATTCTTGGTTCTTTTGGTAAAGTCACCACCACGTAGATAGGGAAACAATAAAATAATAAAAATATAAAACAATAAAATTATTGTAAAACAATAAAATTATTATTCTTGGTTCTTTCGGTAAAGTCACCACCGCATACATAGGGGAAACAATAAAATAATAAAAGTATAAAACAATAAAATTATTGTAAAACAATAAAATTATTATTCTTGGTTCTTTCGGTAAAGTCACCACCGCGTAGATAGGGAAACGATAAAATAATAAAAATATAAAACAATAAAATTATTGTAAAACAATAAAATTATTATTCTTGGTTCTTTCGGTAAAGTCACCACCACGTAGAAGGGAAACAATAAAATAAATAAAAATATAAAACAATAAAATTATTGTAAAACAATAAATTATTATTCTTGGTTCTTTCGGTAAAGTCACCACCGCGTAGATAGGGAAACGATAAAATAATAAAAATATAAAACAATAAAATTATTGTAAAACAATAAAATTATTATTCTTGGTTCTTTCGGTAAAGTCACCGCCGCGTAGATAGGGGAAACAATAAAATAATACAAAATATAAAACAATAAAATTATTGTAAAACAATAAAATTATTATTCTTGGTTCTCTCGGTAAAGTCACCACCACGTAGATAGGGAAACAATTAAATAATAAAAATATAAAACAATACAATTATTGTAAAACAATAAAATTATTATTCTTGGTTCTTTCGGTAAAGTCACCACCGCGTAGATAGGGGAAACAATAAAATAATAAAAATATAAAACAATACAATTATTATTCTTGGTTCTTTTGGTAAAGTCACCACCACGTAGAAGGGAAACAATAAAATAATAAAAATATAAAACAATACAATTATTATTCTTGGTTCTTTCGGTAAAGTCACCACCACGTAAAAGGGAAACAATAAAATAATAAAAATATAAAACAATAAAATTATTATTCTTGGTTCTTTCGGTAAAGTCACCACCACGTAGAAGGGAAACAATAAAATAATAAAAATATAAGACAATAAAATTATTGTAAAACAATAAAATTATTATTCTTGGTTCTTTCGGTAAAGTCACCACCACGTAGAAGGGAAACAATAAAATAATAAAAATATAAAACAATAAAATTATCGTAAAACAATTAAATTATTATTCTTGGTTCTTTCGGTAAAGTCACCACCGCGTAGATAGGGGAAACAATAAAATAAAAAATATATAAAACAATAAAATTATTGTAAAACAATAAAATTATTATTCTTGGTTCTCTCGGTAAAGTCACCACCACGTAGAAGGGAAACAATTAAATAATATAAATATAAAACAATTCAATTATTGTAAAACAATAAAATTATTATTCTTGGTTCTTTCGATAAAGTCACCACCACGTAGAAGGGAAACAATAAAATAATAAAAATATTTAAAAAAATTATAATTGTAAAGTCACCACCACGTAGAAGGGAAACAATAAAATAATAAAAATATAAAACAATAAAATTATTGTAAAACAATACAATTATTATTCTTGGTTCTTTCGATAAAGTCACCACCACGTAGAAGGGAAACAATAAAATAATAAAAATATTAAAAAAAAATAATTGTAAAGTCACCACCACGTAGAAGGGAAACAATAAAATAATAAAAATATAAAACAATAAAATTATTGTAAAACAATAAAATTATTATTCTTGGTTCTTTCGATAAAGTCACCACCACGTAGAAGGGAAAGAATAAAATAATAAAAAATATTTAAAAAAAATATATAATTGTAAAGTCACCATCACGTAGAAGGGAAACAATAAAATAATAAACAAATATAAAACAATAGTTTTATATTTGTTTATTATTTTTATTATTTAATTGCTTTATACTTTTATTATTTAATTGTTTTACTAATTTTTTTTCCCCTCTACGTGACTTTACCGAAAGAACCAAGAATGTAACATGGACACATTTATATAATCATACGATCTAACCGCTCCCCCCCTACCCCCCCATAAAAAAGCCTGTCCTATGGACCGTTATTTCAAATCGGTTAGTTACTTTAACACAGAAGTCGTAGTAGCAGCGGTAGTAGTAGGAGGCATTCACGACCAACATCATCCACCAATAAGTCACGGACGCTTGGCCTTGCGCCCGAAACGTCGTCATTTATTTCATCTTATGCCTACGTGGACTTGACCAAAAATAACCGAAGGGTGTGGATTTCAAATCGAGATTCTCCATCGAGTCTCTGCAATAACCGTACGTACGTACGCACGCACACACACAACAACAACAACCGCCATTCGCCACTAAGTGGCGGTGACGTCACCACGACGCTTGTGCCAGGCTATGTGCACCCTGAGGCCACGTGAAGTGTCGAACGCTCGCGCTGGCAGGAGGTCACGGGGCAGACCCAGCAGGTGCCACGGGTCGACTGACTGAGATGACTGAGATGACTGGCTGATGCACCACCTGTTGCCCCCTACTGTGCCAACCTGCTGTGCTTTAGCCACCCGGCGCTCCGCTCGTTGTTGTGAGCGTCGTTCCTCCGCCCTCCGTTGTTGTCGGAGGGCGACTACCTCCAACTGCCCAGTAGCAGCGTCCTTCACGAGCCTCCTCCACAGACACACACACCACCACCACCACCGCGCCTATAGCCGTGGCAAGGCATCACCATCCGTGCGAGCGAATGAATGAATGAATGAAGGAATGAATGAATGAAGAATTGAACGAGGGAACGGGGCAAGGGAGCGTCACGCGTTGCTATCGCCGTCCGCCACCTGTGCGGTAGGTCTCTGTGCAGTCCTCCAGGGTGATCCTGCGGTCCAACTCGAACTGGGGGATGCTGAGGTCGTCAGCCAACACGATGGCTTGCTCCACCCTCCAGCGGAGAAGCAAATCTCGCTCCGTGTAGCTCGCTGGAGTTGTGGAGGGGAGGGAGGGAGGGAGGGGAGGGGAGGGGAGGGAGGGAGGGAGACTTGAGAACCACTATACACTACACTATATACTACACTATATACTACACTATACACTACACTATACACTACACTATACACTACACTACACACTACACTATACACTACACTATACACTACACTATACACTACACTATACACTACACTATACACTACACTATACACTACACTACACACTACACTACACTATACACTACTATACACTACACTATACACTACACTATACACTACACTATACACTACAATACACTACACTATACACTACACTATACACTACACTATACACTACACTAGACACTCACCACTGGTGATGAGTAAGGGGGAGGTACTACACTACTATACACTACACTACACACTCCACTATACACTACACTATATACTACACTATACACTACACTACTATACACTACACTATACACTACACTATACACTACACTAATCACTACACAATACACTATACACTACTACACTATACGCTACACTATACACTACACTACACACTACACTACTATACACTACATTATATACTACACTACTATACACTACATAACTATACATTACACTACACTATACACTACAATATACACTACACTATACACTATACGCTACACTACACTATACACTGCACTATACACTACACTACTATACACTATACACTACACTATACACTACACTATACACTACACTATACACTACACTATACACTACACTACACTATACACTATACTACTATACACTACACTATACACTACACTATACACTACACTACTATACACTACACTATACACTACACTATACACTACACTATACACTACACTACTATACACTACACTATACACTACACTATACACACACACTATACTACACTATACACTACTATACACTACACTACTATACACTACACTATACACTACACTACTATACACTACACTATACACTACTATACACTATACACTACACTATACACTACACTACACTATACACTACACCACTATACACTACACTATACACTACTACACTATACACTACTATACACTGCTATACACTACACTATACACTACACTATACACTACACTAGACACTCACCGCTGGTGATGAGCAAGGGGTAGGTACTACACTACTATACACTATACACTACACTACACACTACACTATACACTACACTATATACTACACTACACTATACACTACTATACACTACACTATACACTACACTATACACTACACTATACACAACAATATACACTACACTATACACTACACTACACTATACACTACACTATACACTACACTATACACTACACTACTATACACTATACACTACACTATACACTACACTATACACTACACTATACACTACACTACACTACTATACACTATACACTACACTACACACTACACTATACACTACACTATACACTACACTACACACTACACTATACACTACACTATACACTACACTATACACTACACTATACACTACACTATACACCACACTAGACACTCACCGCTGGTGATGAGCAAGGGACAGGTACTACACTACAATACACTACACTATACACTACACTATACACTACACTATACACTACACTACTATACACTACACTATACACTACACACCACTAGACACTCACCGCTGGTGATGAGCAAGGGACAGGTACTACACTACTATACACTATACACTACACTATACACTACACTACTATACACTACACTATACACTACACTACACTCTACACTACACTCTACACTACACTATACACTACACTACACACTACACTAGACACTCACCGCTGGTGATGAGCAAGGGACAGGTACTTCACTACTATACACTACACTATACACTACACTATACACTACTATACACTACACTATAAACTACACTATAAACTACACTACACTATACACTACACTATACACTACACTATACACTACACTATACACTACACTATACACTACACTAGACACTCACCGCTGGTGATGAGCAAGGGACAGGTACTACACTACAATACACTACACTATACACTACACTATACACTACACTATACACTACACTATACACTACACTACACTATACACTACACTATACACTACACTAGACACTCACCGCTGGTGATGAGCAAGGGACAGGTACTTCACTACTATACACTACACTATACACTACACTATACACTACTATACACTACACTACTATACACTACACTATACACTACACTATACACTACACTATACACTACACTAGACACTCACCGCTGGTGATGAGCAAGGGACAGGTACTACACTACTATACACTATACACTACACTATACACTACACTATACACGACACTACACACTACACTATACACTACACTATACACTACTATACACTACACACTATACACTACACTACACTATACACTACACTATACACTATACACTACACTATACACTACACTATACACTACACTATACACTATACACTACACTATACACTACACTATACACTACACTATACACTACACTATACACTACACTATACACTACAATATACACTACACTATACACTACACTAGACACTCACCGCTGGTGATGAGCAAGGGACAGGTACTACACTACTATACACTACACTATACACTACACTACACTATACACTACACACTACACTACACACTACACTATACACTACACTATACACTACACTATACACTACACTACACACTACACTATACACTACACTATACACTACACACCACTAGACACTCACCGCTGGTGATGAGCAAGGGACAGGTACTTCACTACTATACACTACACTATACACTACACTATACACTACACTATACACTACACTACTATACACTACACTATACACTACTATACACTACACTATACACTTCTATACACTACACTATACACTACACTATACACCACACTATACACTACACTATACACCACACTAGACACTCACCGCTGGTGATGAGCAAGGGACAGGTACTACACCACTATACACTACACCACTATACACTACTACACTATACACTACACTATACACTACACTATACACTACACTATACACTACACTATACACTACACTATACATTACACTATACACTACACTACACTATACACTACACTATACACTACACTATACACTACACTATACACTACACTATAAACTACACTACACTATACACTACACTATAAACTACACTACACACTATACACTACACTATACACTACACTACTATACACTACACTATACACTACACTATACACTACACTATACACTACACTATACACTACACTACACTATACACTACACTATACACTACACTATACACTACACTACACACTACACTAGACACTCACCGCTGGTGATGAGCAAGGGACAGGTACTACACTACTATACACTACACTATACACTACACTATACACTACACTATACACTACACTATATACTACATTACACTATACACTACACTATACACTACACTACACACTACACTAGACACTCACCGCTGGTGATGAGCAAGGGACAGGTACTACACTACACTATACACTACACTATACACTACACTACACTATACACTACACTATACACTGCACTATACACTACACTATACACTACACTATACACTACACTATACACTACACTATACACTACACTAGACACTCACCGCTGGTGATGAGCAAGGGACAGGTACTACACTATACACTACACTATACACTACACTATACACTACACTACACACCACTAGACACTCACCGCTGGTGATGAGCAAGGGACAGCTACTACACTACTATACACTACACTATACACTACACTATACACTACACTACTATACACTACACTATACACTACACTATACCCTACACTATACACTACTATACACTACACTATACACTACACTACACTATACACTACACTACTATACACTACACTATACACTACACTATACACTACACTATACACTACACTATACACTACACTATACACTACATTACACTATACACTACACCACTAGACACTCACCGCTGGTGATGAGCAAGGGACAGGTACTACACTACTATACACTACACTATACACTACACTATACACTACACTATACACTACACTATACCCTACACTATACCCTACACTATACACTACACTATACACTACACTATACACTACACTATACACTACACTATACACTACACTATACACTACACTATACACTACACACTCACCACTGGTGATGAGCAAGGGACAGGTTTGCGTGTCCATGGGGAACGTGCGGAGGTCCATGGGGCAGCTGAGGGTGAGCGTCAGCCTGAAGGCACGAGACGGAGAGACACGTGGGGTGGTGACACGTGGGGTGGTGACACATGGGGGTGGTGATGACACGTGGGGGTGGTGGTGACACGTGGGGGTGGTGACACGTGGGGGTGGTGGTGACACGTGATGATGATGACACGTGGTGATGATGATGACACGTGGTGATGATGACACGTGGTGGTGATGATGACACGTGATGATGATGACACGTGGTGATGATGATGACACGTGGTGATGATGATGACACGTGGTGATGACGATGATACGTGGTGATGATGATGACACGTGGTGATGATGATGATAACACGTGGTGACGATGATGACACGTGGTGGTGATGATGATGATGATGACACGTGGTGGTGATGATGACACGTGATGATGACGATGACACGTGGTGATGACGATGATGACACGTGATGATGATGACACGTGGTAATGATGATGATGACACGTGGTGACGATGATGACACGTGATGACGATGATGACACGTCGAGTGAGTGTGTAGCTGAGTGAGTGAGCTCCTCTCACTCTCTCTCTGTGTGAGTCTTCATGCTAAGAACCGCGCCATTCCCTCCCCTCCCCCCAACATGTGTCGAGACCAATTGACTCCAAATCGGAGGCCTGACCACTCCCACCACTGCCACACCTCACGTTTATCTTTATATTAGCGGTAGCGAGCGTGGTGGACGGGAAGCCCAACCGGGATTAATTCTCACAGGAGGCAGGGGATTAATATTGTCGTGTATGTCTGCGGATGTCCGTCCACGTGTATCCGGACACCCGGATAAAATGGGAGGGGTGGGGCTGGGTGGGGCTGGGTGGGGAGGGGTGGTAGGTGGGGGGGGGGGGTGTGTTTGGTGGGAGTCACGTGATTGGCGATGGCCAATCACGCGAACACCTCTTCCCCTTCTATTCTAGATTGGAAGCTTTCGTGACTGCAAGGGATCCGTACTCTTTGGTTCTATTCGGTTGCTGTTTTATGCTTTTTTTTTGACCTACGTGGCCTTAATCTTAGCTGTCTTGTTGTTGTGGTTGTTGTGGTTGTTGTTGTGGTTGTTGTTGGTGTTGTTGTTGTGGTTGTTGTTGTGGTTGTTGTTGTTGTGGTTGTTGTGGTTGTTTGAGTTTGCAATCCCGCTGGGATTTTTTTTTGCACGCAGCGTTGGTGGTGCGACGGTGATTTTTTTCAGGAATATTTTGACGTTTATTTATTTATTCCCCCCCCCTGGACTTTCCGTTTTGCACACAGTCACACGCACGCACAAAGTGACTTTAAGATGTTTTTTCGTGTTCGCGTTTCTGTTTTGTGTTTGTTGAGGTTGCATCCAACTCAAGATCCTAATGCAGACGCGAGGCAAAGGCACGGCCGGTTGGGCTTCTTAATCCGGCCCGCCGAACCATTATCGTTATTCTTAACTCTTTCGGTAAAGTCACCGCGTTGAAGGGAAACAATAAAAACAATAAAATATATATAAAACAATAAAAAATAATTCTCACGACGTTTCGACCATAACACAAACGGTCGTCATCAGATGTTGTTATTAAGTTAAATTTTTCCCCTTTCTCCTGTAATGTCCCCCCCCCCCCCAACCCAACATTTCCACCATTAGGTGGCGCGCTTTGACCGGGAGTTAAAGCGTGTACTTCGCATCGTCCGCGATCGTGAAATTTGTTCAATCGCCGTGCAAATAAACGCTTTGCTTACCCGTCAAAGGCCAAACCCTTTCCGCTGTGGTGATGATTTTTTGTTCCATACGCGCCATTTTTATATTCAGTTCGCGCAGACTCTCCGTCACGTCCGTCTGTTTCCTGGCCCGGGGCCCCCGCCGTCAAAATTTTATAACCGAGTGGAAACAATTTTGGTCCCACCCCCTGGCCTAATGGCTCACGCAGGGCCACACCCAAATGAACGTTGAACGGAACTACGGGAGGGTTCGGGCCTGAGCGGGAGACGCCCGAGGCTGAGAAAACCCCTCCCTGGCGCCAGCGAAGAGTGCGCAAAGCGAGAGTCTCCGCCCACTGGCCGGGGAGGGGAGGCTAACTCTCCCTTGGTAAGGCCGCAGTAGCCCTGGGTGGTTGGTTGCTGGCATGCACGTGGGAGCTGGGAGGAGGACTCCAGGCGTTGCTTCACGAAGCGTCTAGTTGCACGTAGCGGTCCCCACACACACTCTCTCTTTCTATCGGGTGCCAGACCAGATAGGACTAGGCCTCACCACACCACCACCACCACCACCATCACCCCTCTCCAGAGCTCGCGAAAAGACGGGAGGAGTGTGGATTCGCCCGTATGGCACGGAGGGTGAGTGGGTAGCAGAGTGGGTAGGTGAGTGAGTGTGTAGCTGTGTGAGTGTGTAGCTGAGTGGGTAGCTAAGTGGGTGGTTGAGTGAGTAGTTGAGTGTGTAGCTAAGTGAGTGAGTAGCTGAGTGAGTGTGTAGCTGAATGAGTGAGTGTGTAGCTGAGTGTGTAGCTAAGTGAGTGAGTAGCTGAGTGAGTGTGTAGCTGAGTGAGTAGCTGAGTGTGTAGCTGAGTGTGTAGCTGAGTGTGTAGCTGAGTGAGTGTGTAGCTGAGTGAGTGTGTAGCTGAGTGAGTGAATGGGTAGCTGAATGTGTAGCTGAGCGGCAAGACCTCATGGAGTAGAGGACGTCCCCGTTGTCGTGTATCCGCAGCATGCTGTTGGGCGTGGTGACGGTGTGAGTGTGTAGCTGAGTGTGTAGCTGAGTGAGTGTGTAGCTGAGTGAGTGAGTGAGTAGCTGAGTGTGTAGCTGAGTGAGTGGGTAGCTGAGCGTGTAGCTGAGTGGGTAGCTAAGTGAGTGTGTAGCTGAGTGAGTAGCTGAGTGAGTAGCTGAGCGGCGAGACCTCATGGAGTAGAGGACGTCCCCGTTGTCGTGTATCCGCAGCATGCTGTTGGGCGTCGTGACGGTGTCAGTGTGTAGCTGAGTGTGTAGCTGAGTGAGTGTGTAGCTGAGTGAGTGAGTGAGTAGCTGAGTGTGTAGCTGAGTGAATGTGTAGCTGAGTGAGTAGCTGAGCGTGTAGCTGTGTGAGACCTCATGGAGTAGAGGACGTCCCCATTGTCGTGTATCCGCAGCATGCTGTTTGGCGTGGTGACGGTGTGAGTGTGTAGCTGAGTGTGTAGCTGAGTGTGTAGCTGAGTGTGTAGCTGAGTGTGTAGCTGAGTGAGTGTGTAGCTGAGTGAGTGTGTAGCTGAGTGAGTGAATGGGTAGCTGAATGTGTAGCTGTGTGAGACCTCATGGAGTAGAGCACGTCCCCGTTGTCGTGTATCCGCAGCATGCTGTTGGGCGTGGTGACGGTGTGAGTGGGTAGCTGAGTGTGTAGCTGAGTGTGTAGCTGAGTGAGTGTGTAGCTGAGTGTGTAGCTGAGTGAGTGAGTGGATAGCTGAGTGTGTAGCTGAGTAAGTGAGTAGCTGAGTGAGTGAATGGGTAGCTGAATGTGTAGCTGTGTGAGACCTCATGGAGTAGAGGACGTCCCCATTGTCGTGTATCCGCAGCATGCTGTTGGGCGTGGTGACGGTGTCAGTGTGTAGCTGAGTGTGTAGCTGAGTGAGTGATTGGGTAGCTGAGTAAGTGAGTGGATAGCTGAGCATGTAGCTGAGTGAGTGAGTGAGTAGCTGAGTGAGTGAGTGAGTAGCTGAGTGTGTAGCTGAGTGAATGTGTAGCTGAGTGTGTAGCTGAGTGTGTAGCTGTGTGAGACCTCATGGAGTAGAGGACGTCCCCGTTGTCGTGTATCCGCAGCATGCTGTTGGGCGTGGTGACGGTGTCAGTGTGTAGCTGAGTGAGTAGCTGAGTGTGTAGCTGAGTGAGTGAATGGGTAGCTGTGTGAGACCTCATGGAGTAGAGGACGTCCCCGTTGTCGTGTATCCGCAGCATGCTGTTGGGCGTGGTGACGGTGTGCACCGTGGCGCTCTCCTCGTTGCCAAAGTAGAGGTCGGGCTTCCACATGAAGGCCGCGTTGGACTCGTCCAGGTCGGTGGCGTTGAAGTCGCGGCTGCTGTAGCGCAGGCGGTCGTCGTTCCAGCGCTGCCACAGCGTGAGGGTCACCCGGTAGTCCTGGCCTCGCCACGCCGATACCACTCGTGTGGGTGGTGGTGGTGGTGGGTGGTGGTGGTGGTGGTGGTAGTGGTGATGGTGGTGGAGGTGGTAGTGGTGGTGGTGGAGGTTGTGGTGGGTGGTACTGGTGGTAGTGGTAGTCGTGGTGATGGTGGTAGTCCTGGCCTCGCCACGCCGATACCACTCGTGTGGGTGGTGGTGGTGATGGTAGTGGTGGTGGTGGTAGTGGTTGGCGGTGGCGGTGGCAGGAGGCGGTGGTGGCGGTGGTGGTGGTAGTCGTGGTGGTGATGGTGGTAGTGCTGGTGGTGGTGGTGGTAGTGGTGATGGTGGTGGTAGTGGTAGTCGTGGTGGTGGTGGTAGTGGTGATGGTGGTGGTAGTGGTAGTCGTGGTGGTGGTGGTAGTGGTGATGGTGGTGGTAGTGGTAGTCGTGGTGATGGTGGTAGTCCTGGCCTCGCCACGCCGATACCACTCGTGTAGGTGGTGGTGGTGGTGGTACTGGTGGTGGTGGTAGTCCTGGCCTCGCCACGCCGACAACACTCGTGTGGGTGGTGGTGATGGTGATGGTGGGTGGTGGTGACGGTGGTGGTGGTGGTAGTGGTGATGGTGGTGGTGGTGGAGGTGGTAGTGGTGATGGTGGTGGTGGTAGTCCTGGCCTCGCCACGCCGATACCACTCGTGTGGGTGGTGGTGGTGGTGGTGGGTGGTGGTGGTGGTGGTGGTGGTAGTGGTGATGGTGGTGGAGGTGGTAGTGGTGATGGTGGTGGTGGTAGTCCTGGCCTCGCCACGCCGACACCACTCGTGTGGGTGGTGGTGGCGGTGGTGGTGGTGGTGGGTGGTGGTGGTGGTGGGTGGAGGTGGGTGGTGGTAGTGGTGGTGGGTGGTGGTGGTAGTGGTTGGCGGTGGCAGGAGGCGGTGGTGGCGGTGGTGGTGGTAGTCGTGGTGATGGTAGTGGTGATGGTGGTGGAGGTGGTAGTGGTGGTGGTGGAGGTTGTGGTGGGTGGTACTGGTGGTAGTGGTGGTGGGTGGTGGTGGTAGTCCTGGCCTCGCCACGCCGACACCACTCGTGTGGGTGGTGGTGGTGGTGGGTGGTGGTGGGTGGTGGTGGTGGGTGGTGGTGGTGGTGGGTGGTGGTGGTGACGGTGGTGGTGGTGGTAGTCGTGGTGGTGGTAGTGGTGATGGTGGTGGTGGTGGTAGTGGTGGTGGTAGTGGTAGTCGTGGTAGTGGTAGTGGTGGCGGTGGTGACGGTGGTGGCGGTGGTGGTTGTGGCGGTGGTGGTGGGTGGAATTGGTGGTGGTTGTGGTGGTGATGGTGGTGGTGGTTGTGGTGGGTGGTACTGGTGATGGTGGTGGAGGTGGTAGTGGTGATAGTGGTGGTGGTGGAGGTGGTAGTGGTGATGGTGGTGGTGGAGGTAGTGGTGGTAGTGGTACTGGTGGTGGAGGTGGTAGTGGTGATGGTGGTGGTGGTGGTGATGGTGGTGGAGGTGGTGGAGGTGGTGATGGTGGTGGTACTGGTGGTGGTACTGGTGGTGATGATGGTGGTGGTGGAGGTGGTAGTGCTGTTGGTGGTGGTAGTGGTGATGGTGGTGGAGGTGGTAGTGGTGATGATGGTGATGGTGGTGGAGGTGGTGGTGGTACTGGTGGTGGTGGTGGTAGTGGTACTGGTGGTGGTAGTGGTGGTGGTGGTGATGGTGGTGGTAGTGGTGGTGGTACTGGAGGTGGTACTGGTGGTAGTGGTGATGATGGTGATGGTGGTGGAGGTGGTGGTGGTGGGTGGTGGTACTGGTGGTGTTACTGGAGGTGGTACTGGTGATGGTGGTGGTGGTAGCGGCCACCAGCACCAACAGTGATGGTTATCCGAGCCGGCCCTGGGACTCCCCACCAGTGCCCCCCCCCCCCCTCCGGGAGCGTGTGGAGACATCGACAGCAGTGGGGGGGGGGGGGAGAGACAAAGGCGGAAAGCCACCCCCTGCCGCGGCCCTGAGGACGCCGCTATGAGCCAACGGCACCAGCAACCTAAAGCCTAATGAGGCTACACTCTGTCTTTGTGTGGGCGGGCGGGCGGGCTGGTGGGTGGGTGGGTTGGTGGGTGGGTGGGTGGACGTGTGGTCGACTCACCATGGTGGACTCGCGGATGTCGCCCAAGCTCTTGAGGTAAATGCTGATGTTCACCACCACGGGGTCTCCTGCGCGGAGATGAGCGGAGCGAGGTGAGAGAGAGAAGGGGAGAGGGGACAGAGTGGAGCGAGCTGTTTGCTGCGACGGGCGAGTCGGTGGGTGGGTGAGTGGGTGGGTAGGTGGGTGGGTCTGTGGGTGGGTGGGTCTGTGGGTGGGTGGGTGGGTCTGTGGGTGGGTGGGTCTGTGGGTGGGTGAGTGGATGGGTGGGTGGGTGGGTGAGTGGATGGGTGGTTGGTTGGGAGGGTGGGTGGATGGGTGGGTCTGTGGGTGGGTGGGTGGGTCTGTGGGTGGGTGGGTGGGTCTGTGGGTGGGTAGGTCTGTGGGTGGGTGAGTGGATGGGTGGGTGGGTGAGTGGATGGGTGGTTGGTTGGGAGGGTGGGTGGATAGGTGGGCGGGTGGGTCTGTGGGTGGGTGGGTGGGTCTGTGGGTGGGTGGGTCTGTGGGTGGGTGAGTGGATGGGTGGGTGGGTGGGTGAGTGGATGGGTGGTTGGTTGGGAGGGTGGGTGGATGGGTGGGTGGGTCTGTGGGTGGGTGGGTGGGTCTGTGGGTGGGTCTGTGGGTGGGTGAGTGGATGGGTTGGTGGGTGAGTGGATGGGTGGTTGGTTGGGAGGGTGGGTGGATGGGTGGGTGGGTCTGTGGGTGGGTGGGTGGGTTGGGTGGATGGGTGAGTGAGTGAGTGGGTGGATAGATAGGTGGGTGGTTGGGTGGGTGGATAGATAGGTGGGTGGTTGGGTGGGTGGGTGGGTGGGTGGGTGGGTGAGTGGGTGGGTGGATAGATGGGTGGGTGGATAGATGGGTGGATGGGTTGGTGGCTGCATGGGTTGTTGAGTGGATAGATGGGTGGATGGGTTGGTGGGTGGATGGTTGGGTGGGTGGGTGAGTGGGTGGGTGGATAGATAGGTGGATGGATTGGTGGGTGGATCGGTGGGTGGATGGATGGGTGGGTGTATAAGTCGGTGGGTGGGTGGATGGGTTGGTGGCTGGATGGGTTGGTGAGTGGACAGATGGGTGGATGGGTTGGTGGCTGGATGGGTTGGTGGGTGGGTGGATAGATGGGTGAGTTGATTGATGGGTGGATGGGTTGGGGACTGGATGGGTTGGTGGGTGGGTGGGTGGCTGGGAGGGTGGATAGATGGGTGGATGGATGGGTGGATGGGTTTATGGGTGGATCGGTGGGTGGGTGGATAGATGGGTGACTTGATAGATGGGTGGATGGGTTGGTGACTGGATGGGTTGGTGGCTGGATGGGTTGGTGAGTAGATATATGGGTGGATGGGTTGGTGGCTGGATGGGTGGGTGGGTGAGTGGGTGGGTGGATAGATGGGTGGATGGGTTGGTGTGTGGATCGGTGGGTGGGTGGATAGATGGGTGAGTGGATAGATGGGTGGCTGGGTTGGTGGGTGGCCCGTGTGCGTCACGTGGGGTGTCCTCGCCTGCGAAGTTGGGACGGATGGTCTTCTTATAGTCGCTGGTTCGCAGCAGCGAGTCCAGGATGTCCACTGGATCCATGTTAGCTCGCTGGCCACGTGACCTGCACGCGACGTTGGGTGAACGTTGGGCCAAAACCCAAACAAAGAGACACGTAGAGATACATAGAGACCCATAGACATACATAGAGACACGTAGAGATATATAGAGACACGTAGAGATACATAGAGACACGTAGAGATACATAGCTATGCATAGAGACCCGCATAGATATGAAGAGACCAGTAGAGACCCGTAGACATACATACAGAGAGACCCGTAGAGATACATAGAGACCCGTAGAGATACAGAGAGACCCGTAGAGATAAATAGAGACCCGTAGAGATACAGAGAGACCCGTAGAGACCCGTAGAGATACATAGAGACCCGTAGAGATACATAGAGACATGTAGAGATACATAGAGACCCGTAGAGATACATAGAGACACGTAGAGATACATAGAGACCCATAGACATACATAGAGACACATAGAGATACATAGAGACACGTAGAGATACATAGAGACTCGTACAGATACATAGAGACACATAGACATACATAGAGACACGTAGAGATACATAGAGACCCATTGAGATGCATAGAGACCCATAGAGATACATAGAGACACTTAGAGGTACATAGAGACCCATTGAGATGCATAGAGACCCATAGAGATACATAGAGACACTTAGAGGTACATAGAGACCCAAAGACATACATAGAGACACGTAGAGATACATAGAGACGCATTGAGATGCATAGAGACCAATTGAGATACATAGAGACCCGTCGAGATACATAGAGACCCGTAGAGATACATGGAGACCCGTAGAGATACATAGAGACCCATAGTGATACATAGAGACACATAGAGATACATAGAGACACGTAGAGATACATAGAGACCCGTAGAGATACAGAGAGACCCATAGAGATACATAGAGACACGTAGAGATACATAGAGACATGTAGAGATACATAGAGACCCGTAGAGATACATAGAGACACGTAGAGCTACATAGAGACACGTAGAGATACAGAGAGAACCGTAGAGATACATAGATACCCGTAGAGATACACCAAGACCCGTAGAGATACATAGAGACCCATAGAGATACATAGAGACACGTAGAGATACATAGATACTCGTAGAGATACACAAAGACCCATAGAGACCCGTAGAGATACATAGCAACCCGTAGAGATACAGAGAGACCCGTAGAGATAAATAGAGACCCGTAGTGATACAGAGAGACCCATAGAGACCCGTAGAGATACATAGAGACACATAGAGATACATAGAGACACGTAGAGATACATAGAGACCCATAGTGATACATAGAGACACATAGAGATACATAGAGACACGTAGAGATACATAGAGACCCGTAGAGATACAGAGAGACCCATAGAGATACATAGAGACACGTAGAGATACATAGAGACATGTAGAGATACATAGAGACCCGTAGAGATACATAGAGACACGTAGAGCTACATAGAGACACGTAGAGATACAGAGAGAACCGTAGAGATACATAGATACCCGTAGAGATACACCAAGACCCGTAGAGATACATAGAGACCCATAGAGATACATAGAGACACGTAGAGATACATAGATACTCGTAGAGATACACAAAGACCCATAGAGACCCGTAGAGATACATAGCAACCCGTAGAGATACAGAGAGACCCGTAGAGATAAATAGAGACCCGTAGAGATACAGAGAGACCCATAGAGACCCGTAGAGATACATAGAGACACATAGAGATACATAGAGACACGTAGAGATACATAGAGACGCGTAGAGATACATAGAGACAAGTAGAGATACATAGAGACCCATAGACATACATAGAGACACGTAGAGATACATAGAGACCAATAGAGATACATAGAGACCCGTAGAGATACACAGACATACAGAGAGACCCGTAGAGATACATAGAGACCCGTAGAGATACATAGAGACACGTAGAGATACATAGAGACACGTAGAGATACATAGAGACACGTAGAGATACATAGAGACACGTAGAGATACATAGAGACCCATTGAGATGCATAGAGACAAGTAGAGATACATAGAGACCCATAGACAAACATAGAGACACGTAGAGATACATAGAGACACTTAGAGATACATAGAGACCGACAGACATACATGGAGAACCGTAGAGATACATAGAGACACGTAGAGATACATAGAGACCCGGAGAGATACATAGAGACACGTAGAGATACATAGAGACCCGTAGAGATACATAGAGACACGTAGCGATACATAGAGACCCGTAGAGATACATAGAGACCCGTAGAGATACATAGAGACACATAGAGATACATATAGACCCGTAGAGATACATACAGACAGGTAGAGACACATAGAGAGGTGTAGAGATACATAGCGACCTGTAGAGATACATAGAGACACGTAGAGACAAATAGAGACCCATAGAGATACATAGAGACACGTAGAGATACATAGAGACCCGTAGAGATACATAGCGACCTGTAGAGATACATAGAGACACATAGAGATACATATAGACCCGTAGAGATACATACAGACACGTAGAGACACATAGAGAGGTGTAGAGATACATAGAGACCCGTAGAGATACATAGAGACACGTAGAGATACATAGAGACCCATAGAGATGCATAGAGACCCGTAGAGATACATAGAGACCCATAGAGATACATAGAGATACATGGAGACACGTAGAGATACATAGAGACGCGTAGAGATACAAAGAGACACGTAGAGATAGATAGAGACCGTAGAGATACATAGAGACCCATAGAGATGCATAGAGACCTGTAGAGATACATAGAGACCCATAGAGATACATAGAGATACACAGAGATACACAGAGATACACAGAAATACATAGAGATAAACAAATATACAGAGAGATACACAGAGAGACATAGAGATATATAGAGATGCACAGAGATACACAAAGACACACAGAGAGACAAAGAGATACAAACAGATACACAGAGATAGACATAGACACATAGAGATACATAGAGATATATAGAGATACACAGAGATACACAGAGACACATAGAGATACATAGAGATATATAGAGATACACAAAGATGCATAGAGATACACAAAGACACATAGAGATACATAGAGATACATAGAGAGACAGAGACACACAGAGATACATAGAGATACACAGAGACCTATAGAGATACACACAGATACACAAAGTAACATAGAGATACATAGAGATACACAGAGAGACATAGAGATACACAGAGAGACATAGAGATACACAGAGATACACAGAGATACACAGAGAGACATAGAGATACATAGAGATACACAGAGATACATAGAGATACACAGATATACACAGAGATACACAGAGATACATCGAGATGCACAGAGATACATAGAGATACACAAAAATACATATAGATACACAGAAATACATAGAGATACATAGAGATACATAGAGATACACACAGATACATAGAGATACACAGAGATACACAGACATACACAGAGAGACATAGAGATACACAGAGAGA